AGGTAGATATGAGGTATATTGACAGTCACAGACAGGTGGATATGAGGTAGATTGACAGTCACAGACAGGTGGATATGAGGTATATTGACAGTCACAGACAGGTAGAGATGAGGTAGATTGACAGTCACAGACAGGTGGATATGAGGTAGATTGACAGTCACAGACAGGTTGATATGAGGTAGATTGACAGTCACAGACAGGTAGAGATGAGGTATATTGACAGTCACAGACAGGTGGATATGAGGTAGATTGACAGTCACAGACAGGTGGATATGAGGTAGATTGACAGACACCGATAATTTACATACAGATGGAGGTGAGAGGGTTAGGCAGTAGATCATTGTCAGGTGGAACTGTTGCATCCAATAACCATATATCAACATTATCTCTGCGTTTATTAAAGCGACGGCTATTCCAGGGTATTGAACCTGGCTGTCAGTCATGGCTCTCTGACTGGGGGTGTTGTTCACTCTGTCGTTGACGGAAAGGAAAGGTGAGTAGATTAAGATATCAATACGTAATCGTTATATGCACGGGTCTGCCAGCACATTGTAGTCTGTGTGTAATAACGCAGTATCAGCTGCCCTGCACTTTATACTCTTCTCAAAGAAAGCTAGGAAGAAAATTAGTGGGTAAACAACGCGTTTCCTGTTTGATGCAGACTCAAGATTTCTCACAATGCTTTCCCATCAATCACCATCCGGAAGTTTTGAAATTAGATCCGAATATGACTTCCAATGTCGCTTTTCAATAAACTGGTCTATCCAGATCGCCATCGATTTTCAAATAATCACTTCCTATGACATTTATTGAGAAAATTCAAGCGAGGCCTACTGCCCTTCTCCCGTGTCAGAATAACCTAAAACAAGGCTATCCATCAAGCGTGAGAGTGGTCATCATCAGACCAGGCACATAGCCAGTAGTGACGACTACTGATCAAGTTCCGCCCAGATTAGTTGCTGAGAATCAGTAACTGGGTACCCTGTAGAAGAACGAGATAATTCTGGTGAAACTGGTGAGACTGAACAGATCCATATGTCATCTCTTATACCTTTTATGATTCCCTTAAAAAAACAAATGCTGGAGATATAGTAATATGTCCATATATCTACGACATTGACGTACAAGAATCGATGGTATTTGCTGCTGGACTCGCAGAACATGTATGTTCAAAATGACAGATGGAACTCTTCAGTGTAACATCACGAAACTACGTGACCAACCTTTGTTTGTCAAAAGTAGCTGTAAACCAAACAAAAAACCCAAAACAAACAAAAACTGATTAAGCTTTACTTTTGAAGAACACAAGTAGAACCATCATAGGAGAACTGAACACACTGCCTGCTCGATACAGTCATTTCAGCACAATTAATTTCTAACAATGATTTTTACAGACATGCTTGTGTAAATATTGCCAGTACAAAGCCGTCCACCCTAGTACTCCCAGAACTCTATTACAAATTAACCCCTTATGATATATCAACATAGCCGTGACATGGGTGGAAGGTTGATTACGCGCCGTATTGAAGTTAAATCATCGTGACGTCATCCTACTGTGTGCTGATTAAAACCCCCTTTCATCCAGTTAATATTCTCATAAATATCGAATTAGACAAACATTGAAGGTAATTTGGTGAAACGATAAATTGGCTACTTCCAAATATGACATATATAATTATACATCCAGAGATGCGAGTACTAAATTTCATACCATGTGTATATCTTCTTGTGTTTAGATGCAATCATCATCACTACGAACTGTCGAGCATTGTTAAGTGCACAGGCAAATCACTGACAGGTACGTCACATGAAGCCGGATGTCTTCATCAATGCGCCGACCGCACCCAGGTTTCCAGGCGCGTGTTAAATATAAGCAGTTAATGAAAGATTTATTGAATAATGTAACAAAGCCTAAATAGTACACCCTAAGCCCATGGGGTTGAACAAACATGTCTATTTGCCCTGAAGGAAAGAACCAAATGAGCATTTAATTATCAATAATTGGGTTAAGATTAGGTTGAAGATGTCTATATATTTAACATTACTCTCTGGCGTAGCTTTGCGCATTTGCTGTCTCATCGAAGCACTATTAATCAACCGATTATAGAACTGACTTTTCCTGCTGAATAGATATATATTTGTGGCGTTAGAGACGTATAAGACTTATACTTAACCGGTAAATCAACTTTACGTGCGAGGACATGAGGGTCAAGTGAGTGTCTTTCCCCGGTGGAATGAAGTAGTGCTTCATGACAATGACTACTGACGCAAGTCACTCCATTCCTGAGGACTGATCCATACGGGGGTTCACAACATCGAAAAGAAAATACTTGACTGACTATGAAACTTCTACATAACGAGTAAATGGTTCGATCTGATTGAAAGATAAAGAGTTGACATACATATTCCCAAATGCACTGTTGTGTATTAACAACAAATGGTATGTTTGATAGAACTTTATTCCCTTTGATGTCATGCTGCTTGTTTTAGTTTGAAAGTATCCCTAACTTCCATTAAATCACGGGCCAGAGGGAAGAGACTATATATACACTTGGTGCTTGTTATTATTCTATAAATCCACAATTTGCATTAAGATGATAAGAATACATGTACATAATGGCGGGGAGGCATATAGGGATGTCAGCTTCTGTATTGGGAGAAACAGAACGGTAAGCAAAACAGATACATCAACCACAACAGATACACCCAATATACTAGACACAACAAGGCACATCAACCACACCAGATACACCCGATATACTAGACACAACAGGCACATCAACCACACCAGATACACCCAATATACTAGACACAACAGGCACATCAACCACACCAGATACACCCAATATACTAGACACAACAAGGCACATCAACCACACCAGATACACCCGATATACTAGACACAACAGGCACATCAACCACACCAGATACACCCAATATACTAGACACAACAGGCACATCAACCACACCAGATACACCCAATATACTAGACACAACAAGGCACATCAACCACACCAGATACACCCAATATACTAGACACAACAGGCTCACCAACCACAACAGATACACCCAATATACTAGACACAACAAGGCACATCAACCACACCAGATACACCCGATATACTAGACACAACAGGCACATCAACCACACCAGATACACCCAATATACTAGACACAACAAGGCACATCAACCACACCAGATACACCCGATATACTAGACACAACAGGCTCACCAACCACACCAGAGACACCCAATATACCAGACACAACAGGCACATCAACCACACCAGATACACCCAATATACTAGACACAACAGGCACATCCACCACACCAGATACACCCAATATACCAGACACAACAGGCACATCAACCACACCAGATACACCCAATATACCAGACACAACAGGCACATCCACCACACCAGATACACCCAATATACTAGACACAACAGGCTCACCAACCACACCAGAGACACCCAATATACCAGACACAACAGGCACATCAACCACAACAGATACACCCAATATACTAGACACAACAGGCACATCAACCACACCAGATACACCCGATATACTAGACACAACAGGCACATCAACCACACCAGATACACCCAATATACTAGACACAACAGGCACATCAACCACACCAGATACACCCAATATACTAGACACAACAAGGCACATCAACCACACCAGATACACCCAATATACTAGACACAACAGGCACATCAACCACAACCAGATACACCAGATACAATATACTAGACACAACAAGGCACATCAACCACACCAGATACACCCGATATACTAGACACAACAGGCTCATCAACCACACCAGATGATACACCTAATATACTAGACAACAACAGGCACATCCACCACAGATACACCCAGACAACACACCACAATATACTAGATATACCAGACACAACAGGCACATCAACCACACCAGATACACCCAATATACTAGACACAACAGGCACATCCACCACACCAGATACACCCACACCTAGACACAACAGGCTCACAAGACACCAACACCCAATATACCAACACAACAGACAATCGCAATATACCAGACACAACAGGATACAACCACAACAGATACGCAATATATACTAGACACACCACACCAGATACAACCTGATATACTAGACACAACGGGCACATCAACCACCAGATACACCCTAATATACTAGACACAACAGGCACATCAACCACACCAGATACACCCAATATACTAGACACAACAGGCACATCCACCACAACAGATACACCCAATATACTAGACACAACAGGCACATCAACCACAACAGATACACCAATATACTAGATATACAACAGGCACATCAACCACACCAGATACACCCAATATACTAGACACAACAGGCACATCAACCACAACAGATACACCCAATATACTAGACACAACAAGGCACATCAACCACAACAGATACACCCAATATACCAGACAGGCAACATACCAGATACAGATATAGACACAACAGGCACATCCACCACAACAGATACACCCAATATACTAGACACAACAGGCACATCAACCACACCAGATACACCCAATATATAGACACAACAGCACATCAACCACACACACCAGACAGATACACCCAATATACTAGACACAACAGGCACATCAACCACCAGCAGATACACCCAATATACTAGACACAACAGGCACATCAACCACACCAGATACACCTAATATACTAGACACAACAGGCACATCAACCACACCAGATACCCAATATACTAGACACAACATACATCAACCACACCACACATACTAGGCAACGGGCACATCCACCACACCAGATACACCCAATATACTAGACACAACAGGCACATCCACCACACCAGATACACCCAATATACTAGACACAACAGGCACATCAACCACACCAGATACACCCAATATACTAGACACAACAGGTACATCAACCACACCAGATACACCCAATATACTAGACACAACAGGTACATCAACCACTAGATACACAACAGGCTAGATTACCTACTAGACACAACAGGCACATCAACCACACCAGATACACCAGAATCATCAGGTACATCAACCACACCAGATACACCAGAATCACCAGGTACATGAACCACACCAGATACATCAGAATCACCAGGTACATCAACCACAGCAGATACAGCAGAATCACCAGGTACATCAACCACCCTAGATACAGCAGAATCACCAGGTACATCAACCACACCAGATACACCAGAATCACCAGGTACATCAACCACAGGAGATACAGCAGAATCACCAGGTACATCAACCACACCAGATACAGCAGAATCACCAGGTACATCAACCACCGCAGATACACCAGAATCACCAGGTACGTGAACCACACCAGAAACACCAGAATCATCAGGTACATCAACCACACCAGATACAGCAGAATCATCAGGTACATCAACCACACCAGATACACCAGAATCATCAGGTACATCAACCACACCAGATACACCAGAATCATCAGGTACATCAACCACACCAGATACACCAGAATCATCAGGTACATGAACCACCCCAGATACAGCAGAATCACCAGGTACATCAACCACAGAAGATAACACCAGAATCATCAGGTACATGAACCACCCCAGATACACCAGAATCATCAGGTACATGAACCACTCCAGATACAGCAGAATCACCAGGTACATCAACCACACCAGATACACCCACCAGAATCATCAGGTACATCAACCAACCCAGATACACCAGAATCACCAGGTACATCAACCACACCAGATACACCCACCAGAATCATCAGGTACATCAACCACCCCAGATACACCAGAATCACCAGGTACATCAACCACACCAGATACACCCACCAGAATCATCAGGTACATGAACCACCCCAGATACACCAGAATCATCAGGTACATCAACCACCCCAGATACAGCAGAATCATCAGGTACATCAACCACCCCAGATACACCAGAATCATCAGGTACATCAACCACAGCAGATACAGCAGAATCACCAGGTACATCAACCACACCAGATACACCAGAATCACCAGGTACATCAACCACCCCAGATACACCAGAATGATCAGGTTCATCAAGCATATCAAAACGTCAGATACACCAGAGTCAGGTATATCAAACACACTAAATACACCAGACACAAAGAAATTGTAGGAGTCACATCGTTCTTACTCCCATAATGTACGACAGGTACCAGGTACCCAGTGAAGTTCACCAGAAGCCTAACATAAGAGGCAAACCAGGCACAGCACTGATCATAACTAATGCACCACGCAAACAAGACACACTAGTAACACCCGACAATCGAGACACACCAGTTACACCTGACAATCTATACACACCAGTTACACCTGACAATCGAGACACATCAGTTACACCTGACAATCGAGACACACCAGTTACACCTGACAATCTAGACATATCAGTTACACCTGACAATCGAGACGCACCAGTTACACCCGACAATCGAGGCACACCAGTTACACCTGACAATCGAGACACATCAGGTACACCTGACAATCGAGACACATCAGTTGCACCCAACAATCTAGACACATCAGTTACACCTGACAATCGAGACACATCAGGTACACCTGACAATCGAGACTCATCAGTTACACCTGACAATCGAGACGCACCAGTTATGCCTGACAATCGAGACACATCAGTTACACCCGACAATCGAGGCACATCAGTTACACCTGACAAACGAGACACACCAGTTACACCTGAAGATCGAGACACATCAGTTGCACCCAACAATACACCAGTTACACCTGACAATCGAGACACACCAGTTACACCTGACAATCTAGACACATCAGTTACACCTGACAATCGAGACACACCAGTTACACCTGACAATCTAGACACATCAGTTACACCTGACAATCGAGATACACCAGTTACACCTGACAATCGAGACGCACCAGTTACGCCTGACAATCGAGACACATCAGTTAACACCTGAAAATCGAGACACATCAGTTAACACCTGAAAATCGAGACACACCAGCTACACCCGAAAAACAAACTCACTAGATACACGAGGGGCACTATATACTCCAAAGAATATCAGTATTGGCATTGTGTATAGTTCTATATACCGTGACTATCAATATGTCAATTGACTTGGAAAAATCACCAAAGCGTTTGGATACTTTATATCTGCCCCTTGTCACTGAACCAACTAACTGAAGTTACTAGACACCTGACCCAAGGAATGCATCAAATGCACATCGGCGTATACCAGTTCTACCATAGTGGTGAAATATATGCAGCCATGACGTTGTGATGATGAAATAACGGAACTTAATTATTTCCATTACAGCTGGAAGGATGCATACACTGTATTCCATCATCACCAGTGTGTTTAATAATTCATAATCCTATGTCATTTCATATTAGATATTACTAGCATGCAATTCTCAACTGGTAGCTACAGGGAATGTACTAACCTGATGATCCACAGCATCCAGTTGTTGTGCGAGGTAGCTGAGACGACTTCCACCGTCTAAGTAGCGCTCCCAGCTTGTTACAAACCATTGATTTAATCATTTGACCACACTATAATACCGGCATAACATATTTACTATTCAATCGAACACTGCTGTCGTTCTGCAAGAATACGTGCTACAGTAACTGGTTTTATGGCCATTAGAACAGAATGAGTAGTTCACGTTAATATGACTTCAAACTAACACAGTTGTTTTTTTTGTACATTTATCACTATTTAAAGACAACATTACTCATAAATCACAAGGTCCTTATTAAAAATATGACATATCAATTCAAACTAATCATGGAAATAAAATGTTTGGAATATTAACACTGAAATAATGCCTTACTTATTGTCCACCACAACGATAAGTCACGTGGTAATGTCGCTTGATGGTTGACGATTTGTTACATGATTTGCTGCAGAAAGTCAGTAAAGACACGAAGTTATAAAGTTAATGTACAACCACAACCAGCGACACTGGGAAATATAGTTATGGAAGCCAATGTAATTATTGAAGACTTAGTCAATGTTTAACCACAGTCAACCTGATCTACCAATATGTCAACTCAGTTATTGAAGCCTGTATTATCACTGAAGTTAGAGAGACTGGGTAAAATGTCAGTATAGTTTATTGAAGTTTCTGTATCGCCACAGCCAGCGACATTTGACAATATGTCAATGTTATTGTTGATGTTAATGTGTAACTTGTTGCCGAATTGACCTGGCCAAAAGTCAGTATAGTTATTGAAGTTTCTGTATAACTACAGTCAACGACATTTGGCAATATGTTATTAGTGAAGGTAATACCATTTCAGGACCATTTTTCTTTGAAAATCTTGAATTTCCATTTTGTAAGCACATTTGTGGGTCATACATGACAGCTGCAACAAGGTATTTAGGAACGGTAGTGCGAACGTCTAATTTGCAATTTCGGGTTTGCTGCGGTTAGAACTGAGGGATCATGCAAAGATGCCATTACAATTTCAGACGCCCGAGCTGGTCGCAAATATTATACAGTCAGACTAGCATACACCCACATTGTCCCAATGATGCTTCAATAATTTACTTATTGTGAAATGTCTGGCCATTTTGTTTCTTTGCGGATGTTGTCCGTGCCTCCCTTCGGGTCAAGTCCTGTCTTCAGATTGATGGGTTTGAAAACCGGAATGAATCTTATTGAGCTGCGGAGGTGAAAGATGGGTTTCTCCTTGTCGGTATATATGGCCCAGTAATGAACCGGCTTCGGAGGGTTAGCCCCAGTGGGGTATTGTTCGATGGGTTCAGGGGGTTAAACTCCCCACCGAGATCAACCATCATCAGACCACTAATATCTTCTCATTCGGATTCTGTTATTCTCCATAGGACCCCCAAGATGGTATAAGAGTGAATTACAAGGTATAATGATATACTATGGTGATCAAGATGGCAGTACATATAACTGATACAACAAACATGATAGAGAAAGGCTATGACACTCTATAATATTGATACATTTTGCAAGAGATTTCAGTTCTTTTCTTTTACTGGAAGAAAAGAGTAATAATTTGAAAGAGTGGAGGTTGTCATTTTTGGTATATTTAATTGGTATGAGATTTTTTCCTCGACTTTCTAGTGATGTACAGCAAAAAATGTATGAAATTCGTCTGCTATGACTGATGAATTACAAAGATTGCAAGTTCTATTTTCTTTTCCTGTATTTGTCCAGCGACCTTTTTCAATTGGTAGTTTATGATTTGTAGTTCTGAATTTAAGTAATGGATAGATTTTGGTAGATAATGGTAATTTTCAAATTTAGGTAATTTCTTGTAATATTTATAGTAAAAGTTTTTTGATCTATTAGTAACTGAACTGTTCCATGACTGATAAAATTGATCACTGAGAATCGTGTCGATCATACTAACCAATCACTGTCTGTCATATAGACTTGGCATCATTGTTATCAGTGTATAGACTCTCATAACCCCATAAGGGATAGCTCATCATATATATTTTATCTTGTGATTTGTATATATTTTATTTGTATGAGGTGAAACCTAAATAACATATATATCTGTCATCGTTTACAGATGAAGATAACTAAGTGCAATAAAAGTTCAGTTGATCCAGGCACAGTCAGGCTGGTTATGCTCATCATAAACTCTGCCCACTTTACACGCAACCAAGACAGCGAATGGGACTTCTGCCTGGACGCACTGCCTCGTCCAATCCCACCAAGATGTTTACAGATGATGTGCAGTCTGCTGCATGACCCAAAGTATCAGAATAGCTGTGATGGGATCTGACATGATTTACCGTGTGAGTTTAATAATACCTGTACTACTACTACTACTACTACTACTACTACTACTACTACTACTACTACTACTACTACTACTACTACGGGCGGTGGGGTAGCCTAGTGGTTAAAGCGTTAGCTCGTCACGCCGAATACCCGGGTTCGATTTCCCACATGGGTACATTTCTGGTGTCCCACACCGTGATATTGCTGAAATATTGCTAAAAGCGGCGTAAAACTACACTCTGTGTGTTAACCTTCATGACAAGTACAGTAAACCCCACTCTCCTACCCAGAGTTCCATGCGGCCAGCCAGCATAGTACCTCTGCCACAGGCCAGAAAATTGTGACGATTCGTCACATCTTGCAATGTCAATTCAATATAATGTACAAATTTCTTTTATTCTTTTATTTTTGACGAGCCTACACATCTAACTAAACATCTTTAATAGAATGGTTTAGTTTCACTGAGAAAATATCCAAAAACATGTAACACTATTTCGATTTGCGTAGCGATCCTTTCTTTACATAGGTTGTACGGCTCCACGTGCTGTCATCGAAGCTGATGGAGAGCAAACGATGCAGCCAGTTTGATATCTAAATATGTACTGTCATAGACCTAACTGTCGCAGTTGTTGAAGAATATATATGTAACAATGTAAAACATTATGAAGAGAGCGCCGAAAAGCTTTCGTGAGTCCAGTCTCTTCTTATCATGAATATGCGCGTTTGATTACAAACAAGAGAAAAGTCCACTCACGTGATATGCAAATTAGCCTGT